GATATTATTATTTAATCATTTTAGTTTAGATATGCGTAGTATTTTATTTTAGAAAAAGTATGGCATTATATATGTGCAAAGTTAAATTTAAATCATTGCAGCCTAGAAAGCTATGTCTGATCTTCCAAATTTGTTTTACAAAAGTTGCACTGCCAGTCGGTATGATATCACTTCAAAACAAAATACTTATTGTATAACAAAAATAAAATTTATTATAGAACTAATTCTAGAACAGTTATGGAAACAAATTTTGAGCACATACAATGTCAAAACAAGTCTAGAACCAATTTGAACATACTTTGAACTTGTAAAACTGATATAAAATTTGACATTATTTTTAACTTAGTAGAAAAATAGAGAGTTTTTGTTATTATGATGCAACACTTTCACAAAATCACCAAGTTTATAATGTCCAACTTCCAACAACCCAGATTTTGATGCTTCCCAACCTAGTTTTGTTTGTTCTTTCCACCCACATTAAATGTCCTCACAATCAGAAATGGAGCAAATGCCAAGCAACTCAGTTTCATCAATCAGAAATTGCACAAAAGACAAATTTGCACACATGAAATATACTTAGCCAAACGCAATTGACAGATACGTAGTATATAATAGGAAATCACTTTAAGGACACTGTCCTTTGTCCTGCTCATTACAATCTGGTAATGAAGTTAAATAACTTGTGCCCCATGCATTACACAAAAAACTTATGTACAATATTTGTTTTAGTACTATAACAGTAATAATCCTTTGCTAGGTAATATCTGTAATGGTTTGTCCCAAATATCACCTCCGAATATCAACACTCTCTCGGTCGAATCCGTCAAAGGTTTTTCTTAGTGTGATTTACTTTTGTGTGTGTATGGGCTGTTAGACATGAACAAGGTTTACATGGTACTTGGTACACACAAAAGAGAAGCTAGTCGCAGCAAAATAGACATCGCGTAAGCCCATTCTCGTTACAGTCCGGGCATCTCTGGAAACCATAATCCCCTTCCTGGTCATACTTATCCTCATCACTATCAGCTTCACAGTAGATTTTGCAACTACCTGAACATGTTTCACAAGGAACAAACCTAATATCCCCACAAGTTTCACAAGCGAAGCCATTACCACCATCACAACCACCACCAAGCTGCGCCCTTTCACAGCTCTCCACTGCCTTCTCAAGCTGCCCGTCCTCGTGCATTCGCCTGATTTCATCCACACCCCCTATACACTTTTTCCCCACAAAAACTCTTGGCAAGCAAGTGGCATTGTATCCGTCCCCTAAAAGCTCTCTCAACTCGTCCTTAAACCCGGAATGCATCGACAAATCCCTTTCATCAATTTTAACTCCTAGTCCCTTCAAAAGCACCCTAACATGACAACAATCCTCATATGTTTTTCTCACACCTCTTAGACTTGTGAAGTAGACAACGACTTTGTTCTTACACAACTTGCTATACTCTGATGCCACCTCAACATCTTCCTCCAATGTCTCTAGATCCTTGTGAGTAATCGCGAGAGGCTTGTTATCAAGTGTTTCTTTGAAGGCGGATACCATCTCGGGATCAATTTCACACACCATGGATGTGTCAATTGATGTGGACTTCGATTCATCGTGATCGTTTTGCATCGACGCAGGCTTAACAGATACACAACAACCAGATTTCATTCTCGGTGTAGGGAGATCATATGGGATTGGGGCGGGGTTAGGACTGGGGCTGGAATGAACATCGAAGGAGAAGCTGCGGACAAAGCGGCCCGGAGGCTTCAACGGGCTAACATCTTCAAGACCCTCCATCAATTCCCAAGCATTGATGGTCTCGGGCTCACCGGGTGGCGTGTGAGTCGGGGTCTTCGGAACCACTTTCGGAATCTTTTCATTGATCATTTGGGACCACGACTTTGCTTCGACCAATCCCATAGGTTTACAACGGGTGTTGATCCTGTGTGGGTGAATATGATTTGGTGAGTCCAACCTCAGAGATCCAATTGTGGAGGAGGTGAGAGAAACACGGTGGTGAGATTCCCCTCCTTCCATTGAGTGCCTCCGGCGCACCGGAGAACAAGGGGCGTGGCAATTCCGGCAGACCACTTCCTTTGAACTAGCACAGCCCATTATTGCAGAACAACTTGACAAACACAACAAGTATATCCAAACCAAACACTTGCCCAAAAGAAAGACTTGATCTTTGCTTTGCAGATCAAGAAGAAAGTAGAGAGAACATTCTAATGGCAAGAGGAGATTCCTAGATTCTCAGTGAAGCAAAAAGTGGGAATAAATTAAAATGGGGAAATTGATAATCCAAAGACTAAGAAAGAATCAATTGGATCCATGGGGGTGGGGGTGGGGGTGGGGTGGATACTGGTCTTTCTCTGTGTGCAAAACAAGGCAATGTGATTAATTATAGAACAGTACCTCAAAGCTCAACCAAAGGAGAAAAAGTAAAAAATCAGATCTTCAGTCTCTACTTCCCCATTTCTCAAAATGGGAAAATAATCATCATCAAAGTTGAATCACCAAAACTTATAAGGAATCTCGATAGCAGTACAAGTTGCAAGAAATGGCTTCTGTAGAATGGTTCAAATACAGACTAACAAAAAGGAAAGAATCACAACCCGCATTTATCAAACAATGAATTGAAAAGTCTTTCAGGATAAGGAAAAGCAAAGAAAACTTAGAAAATATTGCGAGAGAGGGAAAGATCGCCCGTTTCTTTTTCTGTGCGATTGGAAAGTGGAAACAGAGAGACCCTTTTACAGGAAAAGGATGTTTATGGTAGTGGGTCGGCAAAGAACAGACTCCACGGGATCAAATCGCGGGATTTGTTTATTTGTCTCGGTTTGGACTGTGGATAAAATTTTATTCTATTTTATTTTCTCATTTTGAACATCAATATTTTAAAAAAAAAACAGGAAAATTTAGCAGGAAAAAAATGCAGAGAAAACGGTTTATATTTTGCTAGTATACGCGTAATTGAAATAACGGAAGAAGCGGGGTGATAGCTGCTTTGGTTTCTAGATTTTTGGAAAAGTTGTTTCCTTTCGTTTAGCGCCTGCCTGGTGAAAAAGTCTCCATTTTTTTCCTTCTAAATTGACCGCTTCTTATTTTATTCTTGCGTGTGACACAATTCAAACCAGAAAATATAAAGTAACAATCATTAGATAATAACATAAATCAATAATTTCCTATTAATGTAGTAAACGTCGCTAATATGAAAACTTCTTAAACAAACACAATCTTTTATTACTCGGAGGTTGCAACAAAAATGCATTTATAATCGGAAAGGAAGCAATCACAGCTGAGAATTTTATAGCATAATAATACATACATCCGTTCTGAAATAAATGCAACATATGAAAAATTACACTATTCACATGTTCCACTTTAACTACGTTTTTTTATTAATGTATGAATATTTTTTTATGAAAAAAATATTATTAAATTTGTCTCATTGTAAATTTTTAAAATCTAATTTTTTAATTTTTTTTACTAATACAAAATTATATATATTAATGGTCAAAGTTGTGTCTCGGCAAGTGTGACATGTTGACCGTTGTATTTATTTAAGAACAGAGGAGTATATGAAAGTGATGGATCGATCATAAGGTAAATTCTTCAACTCCAATATTTTTAATAATGTACATTTTACGACTTCAAGAATCTATACTTGTATCTTCTCGTGTATAAATTATACCGTGCTATACTGCTATCAGCTATACCAAAATCAAATAAATAGTTATTGTTATGCTTTCATAAAAAAATGGTATTAAATTGCATGTAATTAGAAAAATAATACGGAGTATAACAGGACTACGGAGTACGAAGTATTTCATTGTACCCAACAGCAATTCTTATTTTCGATCTGTAAACAAAAATGGCATAAACAATCTTGGGAAACTATCAAATAACCCCCGTACTATATCAAAAAAGTTGATTAGGCCCTTGTACATTACAAACACTCAATTAAGTCATTGAACTATTAAAAAACGTTCAATTAAGCCCTTTCGGTCGGTAAGTAACCGGTTTCCCGGTTAAATGTAACTCGTTTCCCGGCAGCCGCCGTTGCTGGGGTTCGAGCACATCGTCGTCGTCGTCGCCGTTTAACCGAGAAATCGGTTACTTACTGACCAAAAGGGCTTAATTGAACGTTTATTAATAGTTCGAGGACTTAATTGAGTGTTTGTAAAGTACGAGAGCCTAATCGACTTTTTCGGTATAGTACGGGGCTTATTTGATAGTTTTCCCAACAATCTTTTGGACACCTTCAAGTCTTCAACTAACATTTTATCAAATAACTTTATCTAAAACTATCACATACTCATATTTTGAAAGCTAAAACTATCAATTCAGGACCTACAAGATTAAATGTGTCGGTACAGGATCTGAATGATATATATATTGAAAACTATTAATTTAGGACCTAAACTTTCATAGGTTTTGATTTATTTAATTCTTTTATTAGTTCCATTGCTAATTTTTGATGAAAATTTTCTTCGCAGAACTTTATTAGTTTAAAATTTTTAATTATATTTTAAGTTTTTAAAATAAAAAAAAATATTACAACTCATGACAACTTAGGTCTTAGATCGATATTTTTTTAATCATTCGAATCCTATATGATACATTTCATCTTTCAAATTCCGGATCGATAACTCATCGATCTTTTATGTTATGGTTTGACAAAATTTCTACAAATTAAAGTATAATGAAATAGATATATTTAATTCTTTTATTATTCAGTTCATCATCAAGCACAACCATTTTGTAAATTTGTAACCGTATCACGTGTTACCAAAGTATCATATGATCCAAATTCTCTAAATATAATGTATACTAGCTAGGTATATTTTTGGGCGCCATATTTTTGGTTATTGATTGCACGTATGATCATTTTGATTCTGTAACCACAAATCCTCATAAGTAAAAAAAACTTGTAACGGTTAGTATTTATTTACTCTGATCTATAACACTAAACTAGCATATTCAAATTATAGAAACAAAAACCAAATTGCTTGTGAGCTTCATTGGTTTCAAACATGTCATCAGAAGGCGGTAATGAAGGCGGTGGCAGGAAGGCGGAGGACAATAAGAAGGCGGAGGAGAAGCCCCAGCCACATGCAGTACTGGAGCAGCTCTCCGGTGTACAATTTTGTGTCAACAGTCCACCGTCATGGTGTACGTTTCCTTTTCCGGCCATTAATATATACAGTCTTTGTTTCAAATTGATTTGTAAATTTGACTTTTTTTGATCAAACAGTTTCATTTTATTCACTTAATTAAGATGTCAATTTTTTATTATATTCTAATTTAGAGTTTGAAACTGTGGAGAAATTTTAATATAGTTTTTAAATATATAAACTTTAATTATTAAAATTTGAATTGATTTAACTTTAATATTAGTTGACTTTGTAACAATTTGGGAGAGAGAGTATTATATTTGGCCGATTTTTTAATAGAGAAAAGAAGAAGTTTGATACATATATGGTGGAACTGAAAAGTTTTATTGTTTGCTTAATATAATGCAGCGGAGGCAATATTTTTGGGTTTCCAGCATTACCTGTTAACTTTGGGCAATATTGTCTTCATCCCTAAAACAATAGTGCCTCAAATGGGTGGTAGCAAAGTAAGAATCTTACAAATTCATGTTTATGTGGAGAACATTTAATCTTATAAATGAACACAAGTTTAATGACATAATTGTTTATATTTTACTCCGTATTATTATTATTACTTCGAATTGTTATTAGTATTGTTATTACTATTATTTCTGTTACTCTTACTATTATTATCACCATCATTATTACTCATCCGTCCCTCCAACTTTGTCCCGTTTTACCTTTTTCCGTCCATACGATTAAATTTGTCTTATACTCGGGTACCATATTTGATAATATTTGAATGGTTAGAATTATTCTTACTTTATTCACATTTTATCAATTCAATACCAACCCACACACAATTATATATACTTTTTCTTGAAAGTAACACAACACCTCTTTGTCCCAAACTTAGGGGGACAAATCTATAGCGAGTATCATTATTTGGGTTGATTTATCATGTGCAATATATATTGACGTTAATTTTTCTAAATACTCCGTATGAGTTTAAGTTACCTCACATATTTGTACACTGCACCACTAAAGTAATGAATGAATCATGTGTTGCATAGTGAAAAAGTTATCATGTAGACTTCTAAGTCAATTGATAGGTAGAAAGAACAAATATAGTTCTATACTCCTCATGATCAGATCAGATAATTAAATACTTAATAATATATATACTCCTATTTATAATTTTGCTTCTTTACTTTTTTTATGCAACTCTCTTTATATTAATATGAGTAGTTTTTGTTCTAGGCAACAATATACTGATAGAAGTGTTCTTGTTAAAATTTTGGAGGTTTTGAAATAAAAGTTTTAAAATGCATGCAGGTTGAAGAGGCTAGGGTGGTTCAGGTGTTACTTTTCATTTCAGGGATAAATACATTGTTTCAATCTTTATTTGGAGTAAGGTTACCTTCGGTTATAGGTGGTTCATATGCCTACTTGATTCCTATATCCTCAATAGTCCAATCTAGGAAATTTCAGCAGATTCCAGATCCTCACATGGTAAATTCTCTACCACTTTATTTGCATTGTCTTCAAATTCATGAGTAGTTATTACATACGAGTATTTATTTTATTTTTTGATCAACTGAAAGTATTATATTTTTTTCAAATTTATATTCCATATATATATATATAGCACGACAAACTTAAATATTTTGTTTAAGTTTATCTTACTGATGAACACTAAGTGTTGGTTTGCAACTCCTTTTAAAAAAGCACTTCTCAACTTTTGGCTTTAAAAAGCACTTATTTTCCCAAACACTACAACTTTTATTTTTCTCGGCTTCCGCGTCAAAAGTGCTTTTACTTTTTCTATTACACAAAAAACACTTATTTTACCAAACACTACCCACTTTTACTTTTCAAAATCACTCTTTTTCAAACACTATCAACTTTATTTAATCACTTCCCCCCATTTAATTAAAAAAAACACTTTTTTAAAAGCACAAGCTATTGCAAACAGACCCTAAGTCGTTATAGATTTTGAAAGTATATAATCAAATATAATAATGATCAAATATCAGTTCTAATTAATGTGAAAGTCAAATTGTGAACTTAGTTAGAGGAGAGGAAATGTATTACGGAGTATATGATTTTGTCACTCTCAATCAATAATTTGCTATAGTTATTATTTATTTATTTATTTATTTATTTATTTATTTATTTATTTATTTATTTATTTATTTATTTATTTATTTATTTATTTATTTATTTATTAGAGGTTTGAGCACACGATGAGGTCCATTCAAGGAGCCCTCATTGTAGCTTCTAGTTTTCAAGTCGTTGCAGGATTCATAGGTTTGTGGAGAAATGCCACCAGGTATGCTTTGATTTCAACAGCAATTTTCACAATTTTTACTTTATGGTCTACCTTTTAACCTTCATCATTCAAGTTCTAAATACACATTTTATTTTTCAAATCCGATTTCTTGATAATGAATATATTTTTTATAATCCTGATTGATAAAATTTCTTTTATTATTAAACAGATAAATGGTATGGGTTTTGAATTTTATTATTTTGACTCTTAGGTTTCTTAGCCCTTTGTCGGTGGTTCCACTTATCACATTAACCGGGCTTGGGCTTTTTTATCTTGGCTTCCCATTGGTGAGACTTCATTCCAAAGCTCTGAGGTGTGAAATTTAAGGATCGGATATGTATATCTTACTTGGAAGATGCAAAATTTTGATCCATTATTATTAAAAATGAAATTGTGAGGCCAGGATTTGTTTGAAAAATACAAATATACTAACCACAATTTTCTATTTTCAATTGAAATGTGAAGATAATTGATCTAGAGATGTAAAAAGGAAAAAAACTCTAAGTTACTAAGTTAGATCGACACATTCAAAGTGATTGTTGTAGGGATGTGACCCGTGTTTTACATTGCAAAAAAACGTAACAATCACTTTGGACATGTGTCCATCGAAGTCATCCAAGTATCTTACTCCATTTGTATGAGACACTGAGATCTAATGTGTAAGGTGTTAGACACTGAGGTCTAATGTGTATGGGCCGCAAGTTTCTATATGAGGTTAGGATTATTACTCTTTATAAATACAAGTTCTCTCTTTGTAATCATTATCAGTAAATAATAGTAACATCCTAGCTTTGTAACGTCACCAGACGTAGTCATTCGTGACGAACTGAGTTACCAAATTTCGCATGTCTTTCTTATTGTTCTTCGTGTTGCGTGAGTTTAATTCCTACATAATGTGAAACGTACTGTATTGTACGGTATGTGACTTTATAATAACAATTCTTTTTTATATTGGATCTATAATGGAGGATTGCGTTTAAAAATGAATGATAATGGTTAGACCACATGTGTTATATGAATCTATAGTGAAATCATATAGGGCTCCATTAGATTTCACCATATGTCTAAGGGTCAAGTCTTACGAAGATGTTATCACTTGAACTTGTTTCGATTTTAAAGGCACTAAACCATATCATGACTTCGACAATAATAAAAAGGGAAAATAATTTGCATACCCCACACTTTAATGAGGTATGAAATAAGTATCTCAAACTTGCATGTGTAATATATATACTCCGACCTTTCTATAAAAGTTTTTTTCGTGCCATGACTGTATGTTTTTTTACAAATACAAATTTATTGAAATAGTTACATAATTATAAATACTCTAAGCTTTGTGAAATGCTAGTAAATAATATGAGTATTACATCTGGTACAATTTAATTTTAATCGCATCCTCATCAGGGGTGGAGACAGGGAGGGGCTGGAGGGGGTCTCGGCCCCTGCAAGGAAAAAAATTCTTAAGTATATATTATATATAAATACGTTTAATCTATAGAAAATATGTTGATATTTTAAACTTTGGCCCCTGCAAAGTAAAATTTTCAAGAATCGGCCCCTTTAACTATAGACTTCTGGCTCCGCCACTGATCCTCATAAATGTTTTGTGTATTTTAATTCCATCCTCAAAAATTGATTGTTTTCTTTTGTTGCGTCTAGATGGCCGAGTGTGCCGTGGTGGGTATTCCAGAGTTGTTCTTTATAATCCTTGTCTCCCAGGTATGTTCAAAAGGAACATTATTTTGTTCCTTTTTCTATCTTCTGTCCTTAAAAAGAGTATGAACTATGAACTCATAATCCAAGTCTCAATATATCTTTTACAGTATCTTCCTACATGGCTAAAACTAAAAAAACCAATACTGGATCGCTTTGCTGTGCTATTTTCTGTTTCGATTGTGTGGATATACGCAGCCATTTTAACTTGGAGTGGACCTTATAAGACATATTCTGAAGAGAATTGTCGGATCGATAGTTCTCGTCTTATGAGCGGATCCTCTTGGTCAGTCATCTAAACTATGCCCCAAATTCAACCCTTTTTGTAGCATGATTTTTCTGCTTAGCAAGTTCAATATAGGTCAATTTTTTTTACTACGCAGTATAAATTTTGGTTGCTCGTTAACTGATTGATGGTAAAAGTAATTGCACGATAAGAAATTTTATCAATCTAGGATGTGAAAATAAGTTAACTATTAATTAGGAATTCGAAAGACTAATTAAAGTATTAGAGCATCTCCAATGCTACAATGTGTACGATGCACATGTGACATATATGATAGCCACATAAATATTAGCAAATAAATTATCTCCCTCCTTATTTTAATGATTTTATACAATTTTGATAAGTTTTTCCCTGCAATGTCAATTGCAATGTCAATATTTAGACGGTCTTCTTGACATTGTGAAGAAAAACTTACCAAAAATGTATAAAACTATTCAAATAAGGAGCAAAATTATTTATTTACTAATATTTATGTGACTATCTCTCATGCCACGTGTGCACCGTGCACATTGTAGCATTGAAGATGCTCTTAATATTAAGCCCAAACATATGAAAACTTCAATCTATTACTTAATAAGTTTTAATACTCTCTCCATCCCAATTTGTTTTGCAAAATTTCCTATTTTGGTTGTCCCAAAATGGTTTTCCACTTTCTATTTTAGGTATGTAAATAAGAGTAAAGTGACAAATTCACCCTTATTTAGTTATTTTTACTATTTTCCATCAACTTAAAGACATCTACTTTTACGATGAAGGACAAAAGTGTAAAAAGCAAGCATCATTTATTGTCATTCATTAATCCTTGCGTCGGTCAAAGTTTGTAATTCAATTCGGGACGGAGAGAGTGTATTTTATTTGTTAATATTTATCAAGCTTTCGTGAAAAGAAAATCATTTAAAGTTACTATAAAAACATATAAAAATTCAAAGAAATATATATATATATACATGGGTGATTTTAAAGTCTTTTATTGATATTTTTTAATTATCCAAACCTTTTCGAAAAATTTTATCTTTAGAATTTTGATCAGTATTTATCATATCTTTTGGGTCCTTCATTGGCAAAAATCAGATCGAAATTATTTCTTTTTCTATTGCTAAAGTAATCCCTAATTTGTACGGAAGTTAAAAATGTGTAAATTGCTTCAATAAATATTTGTATTTAGGGAAGAAAGAAATAACCTGAATTTCCTTACAAACAATAATGAGGTAACTTTTATATGAGCATGCAACATATTCAAGGGCAAGTTTGTATTTCTAGGAGAAATAGTAAGGATGTAAGTTTCAATTCAAAATATGGATTGAATTGACAAAACAAAAACACTCCAATAAGACAATTTCTTTGTATCTTAATAGCCATTTTAGATAATTGAGCCAATTTGGATGTAAATTAATCTTGCACTATTATGCAGGATTAGCGTGCCTTTGCCATTTCAATGGGGAGCTCCTACTTTTAATGCAGGCGATGTTTTTGCAATTCTAGCATCTTGTTTTGTCTCTTCCATTGAGGTTAATTACTAAATATTGTGCATATATCTCTTTATTTTGTAATAAGATGGTTGTTCTTCATGTAGGCACCAATTGTACACGTTACACAAAAAAAATTGTATACTTTTTAAAAAGTTCTGTGATTTTTTATAGAATGACCTGTGAACACAAACATCGAGGAGATGTATACAAAAACGTCATTTTCATTTTCATTTACCCCAGTGCCGCAAAGGCTCCCACCTACGGTGGGGTAAGGGGGGTCGGATGTACGCAGTCTTACCCCTGTACTAATGCACAGAGAGATTGTTTCCGGATGATCCATAGTGAAAATCGCGTCCAAAATTGCATGGACTGACTGCTGCTTCATAATAAAGAAGCGCAGACAGTTTAATGAGCCATTTTGCTTTATTCCATCATTTTCTCAAGCCAAAAAATAATGAATCTTTAGCTCCATTGCAAATGATGGAAAGTGTGTGCAAATGACGTATACAAACAAAATTTGCCCGTGTAATAATTTATATTTTTTGACAGTCTACAGCTGTCTTTTACGCTACATCGAGATATGGAAGTGCCACCCCAGTGCCACCTTCTATCATGAGCCGAGGTGTCGGGTGGCTTGTAAGATTTAATTTTATTAAGTTGCTATACTTTGTATAAAAAAGAATTTACAAAATATTATTTTGATAAATTCACATGGAATTTGCTTCAGGGGGTAGGGACTTTGCTTAGTGGACTTTTTGGCGGACTCACGGGACCTTGTGCAACAGCGTAATGTTTAAACTCTAACCTATTAGTGCCTCCATATTTATATGTTCTCTACAATAGTTTTTGACACAATATTTTAGGAGAAAAAAAGTAGAGATAATGAATAGTATAGAAAAAATAGGAGAGAAGGTGAAAAATTAGAAAAGAGACGGTAAAAAATAGAAAAAGTAAGGGTAGTTGAGTACTTTTAAAGGAAATACTTACCAAAGAGGGAAAGTGTAACAAACTTTTAAATACATCCCAAAAAGTAAAGTGTAACAAACTTTAAAATACGGAGGAAGTGCAAATCTTGATAAAGCATTATTTGATATATACGGAGCACGATAAACTCCCTCCGTCCCTTAAAGGTTTGCCATGTTTGACTGGCACGTAGAATAATAAAGTAAAAACTGTGTGTTAGAGATTTGTGTAGAGGAGAGAGAAATAACATGACCCACAAATTGATTGATTAAAATGGAAAGTGGCAAAGTTTTTGGAACAACCAAAAAAGGAAAGTTGACAAAGTTATAAGGGACGGAGGGAGTATAAATTACTAAGTCCTCCAAATAGCATTTTTTGGTTTAGATCTTTGAGAAGAAATGTAATGTGAAAATCCTTTTAATCTAATACTCTCATACTAGACCAGACCAGACCAATATAGTTTAGGATGTTTTTACTTTAACTATTTCAAGTATCATACTAGACCAGATCAGATCAGATTTGGACATTTATAAAATACACAAAAATCATACATTTATCAAACCCATCCTGATTAGATCATATCAAACCAGATTAGATCATACTAAGTACGTACTCCGTATTAAATTGACTGCTTTTTGCGCGTCTCAGAGAAAATGCTGGTCTCTTGGCTTTAACAAAAGTTGGAAGCCGAAGAGTTGCTCAAATATCTGCAGGCTTCATGATTTCTTTCGCCATATTAGGTATGGTTCGTATCATAAGTTTAAATGTTTTTTTTTTTTATTACATAGGAGTATTTACTACTCAGTATTTATTAATTATCTAGTATATTTATTCTAGAGGAAATTATCACTTACCTCCCTCCAGATTTCACGTATTATCACTTAGACCCCTGCACTTTTAAAAATATATGCTTACTCCCTCCCTATCCTTTAATGGAAGTTTAATAACTCTTAATTATTACGTTTAGCAAACATATAATTTAGTTTTGTAAATTTACTCGCATATTTATTTTGATAATTAATAAATTTACCCGTATTAAGAATCTTCCCACCATAAAGTACTTATTTTTGCATGAACGCGTACATTCCGATGACATAACCCTTATTATTGACAAATTTATTAGATATATAACTACATCTACATGTGAGTATAAAATTATAGGACTAGTAGCAGACACAATCGAAAGGTACGAACTTAAAACAATAAATCTCTAGTACTTTAAAAAGTTCAAAAATATATCTAAGATTGTAGAAATCTTGGTGAAACTTCTTAATGAGGGAAAGATGCCCAATAACGAGGGATATACCTAAAGCAGATGTTGGTGGAGGATTTTTAGGAGACTATTGTTACCTATTGTAAATTTGTATGGAAAATACCTATTTTTGTGGTTCATATTAGGGGAGGACAAGGCTCGATCTCGAGAATGGCCGATTTTTAAATTAAGAATTTAGGTTGGGACCGAGACCAGACCGGTGAAAAAGAGGCCTCAGGCCTCACTTTTTGGGATCGAGATTGGAGCCCATGTTTTGACCTCATTCATTTTTTTCATTAAAACCATTGAGAACATTTTAAAATGGGTTATAGCCCATTTAAAAGTTGAAAATTAGGCAGTTAAAACATTTGAATTATCAGGAGCGAACCTAGACCAATCATGAGATTGGAACCGAATATAAGGTCATGGGCCGCCCTTATTATTTAGCACTAACCAATTTGGGTGTGGAACCTGTCCTAAACTATAATTGTTTTACCGTATTTTACATGTAGCATGTTCATATTTTGTCAAATATTAATTTACAAGTTATTATTATACCTATAATGATCTCATTTCCAGTAATAACAAAGAGTGTCTAGAGTGCAAATTGGGAAATTTCTTGCATTCAATTTTTAATGGTAAAATCGAGTAGTAAACTTCACTTTTGAGTCGGTTTGGTTCATTTAAGTTGATTTGTTTCATTTTTTGACAAATTTAACATGTTTTGATCATTTTCAATAGACTAAATTTACTCACTTTACAAATTCAAAGGCATAAAACGAACTACCTTTAGTGAGGTCGCTTTGGTCATTTTATTTTATTTTGTTCGACTTCTGATAAAAAGGTCTTTAGTATGGACAAATTTATTAATTACCCGACTAGATTTGTGATTAAATAAAATTATAGTATTAAAAGTGAATTGAACATAATGCAAAATTATGAAATTATATCTATAATTTTCTCTAAATATAGATTAAGAGTTTTTTTAAATATCATTAAAGGATAGGGAGGGGGTAAGATTATATTTTTGATAGTATAGGAGTGTGATTGATAATGCATCAAACCTCAAATCAGATAATTTCCCTTATTCTAATGCTTTTTTCTTACATACGGCTCATATTTGGTTTGAATGTTACGGCGTATATTTTTTGTTACACACCGAGTATTTATTTATATATTACCATGTTTTTATATGTTCACCAGGAAAATTTGGAGCACTTTTTGCCTCGATTCCTATGCCAGTAATGGCAGCCTTGTATTGTGTCTTCTTTGCATATGTTTGTACGTACTTTTCCATCTCATAAGTTTTTGCCGCATTAATTGTTAAGCACATTTTCTAGAACATTCCAAATGTGTCATTTGTTTGGATAACGAAAAGTATTACTTATATCTATAATACATGTCATCTATGTCATGAAATTAGTGTAATGAAGAGATCTCAAATTGGAATGTAACTAAGAAATATCGCTAAAAGGCCCAAAAAATGTCATCACTCCGTTCCATTTCCGATGTGTTAATTTCCTTTTTGGATTGTCACAAATTAAATGTTTTGTTTCTTTTTAGTAATAAATATGTGGTTTATTTTATTTCGCACTATTCTATTCAAATTTAATCACACTTTTCACTTTTAAACTGCTTTATTAATAATTGAAACAAACTAAAACAAGACACCGAATATGCGACGGAGGCGGTAGCTCTTATTGAATTTTGTTAAGTGCTTTCGTCAAAACAATACGTAGTACAATCTTTTATGATAATGTTTGTTTCCTTTTGGGTCCTGGTATTTTAACTTTTAGTGATTAGAGCGGGTTTGGTAACCCCTATTTCAAACTTATTCGTCTTATTTGTCGTTTTTTATCAAACACATAACTCTTTATATTGAGCGTTTAATACTTGAATTGAATTGTATAATATTCAAAATAAGTAAGATAGTTACTTTTCTGGATGAATTGACTGAAGTTGGTGTAGAAATGTATAGAATCATTTTAGTTATTTTCATCTAAATTTTTTCCTCTATTTTATTAATAATACATATTTAAAATATAATTTTTGATAATTATGTATTCCAATTCGGTCGATTTAGCCAGAATAACATCAATATAAGCTGATTGAATTGATTCAAGTGTTGCCAGACCGGCTTCCGGTCGGAGTGAGATAGAGGAGAATTAGTGTGGATATATTGGCGAGTAAGATAGAGAAAGTGGTTGAGAGATATAGGAAGAGAATATGAAATGGATATGAATGAAAAAGAGATGGTAAGAAATGGAGAAACTATAATCCAATTTTTCCGTAATTCTATACACTTTTTGGTTTGATTATTAAATCCTTCTCATAAAGCACACGCATAACATTAGCAATTCTCCCAATATATGAGATTTTTTATCACATTTAGCTATATACGTAGTACGTATTTATTAGCCGAAGGACAAAAAACGACATACATTTTAAAATTCTTATCAAGTATAAAAAGGAGTCAAACTCGAAAAAAAAAGGAGTCAAACTCGAATGTACAACATAGTGATGAGTCCAAAGTGAAAATAAATCCAACAATAGTAACAGTAATATATTTCGTATTACCATATCTCTTCATTGCAGCTTCAGCTGGTCTTGGTTTCCTTCAATTTTGCAACTTGAATAGCTTCAGAACAAAGTTTATACTAGGATTTTCCTTGTTCATGGGACTATCGCTACCTCAATACTTCAAGGAACATCAAATAGTGTTTGGATCATATCCCGTTCATACACATGCTAGATGGGTACGTATTATGTCTCTTTAAAACCAATGTTTAACATATTTGTCTCCTTACTTATCACTATTATTAAGGAAACGTTTTCGAAAATAGGAGTAAATAAGTTTTAATGCCAAAATACGATTGCTATGTTTTTCTTCTCGAAATAGGAGTAGCGTAATAGTATTCACTGCCATCTGCCAAAATAGTTGCATTACTAGACATAAGATCTTTTGGGATTAAGGCTTTAATGTTGTTGTTCTTGTTACTAGACATTAAGATGACAATACTTATTGTCATTAATGGTAGTATTTTTCAATCATGGCAATAACGACTCTAATTTTGGGAAGAAAAATATATCAATCTTATTTTGGAATTCCAAAACATTTTTTATTCCTATTTAGAGCGATTTCCCTTTTATTAATCTAGTTAATTAAACAAATGTTGCAGTTTAATGATATAATATCGGTTATCTTCATGTCACATGCAACGGTGGCGGTTATAATTGCTGAGTTTCTGGACCGTACTCTGCCTAATAATGATAGTAAAGATAACGGTTCAAGTTGGTGGCAAAAGTTTGTGGCATATGGAAGGGATGTTAGAAGTGATGAATTCTACAAGTTGCCATTCAAACTCAATAGGTTCTTCCCATCTTATTAGAGATTGATCTTTGGATTTTCTAAACATTGCTTCTCAGATATACAGTTAATTTGTTATAGTTTTGATTACTCTCTTTGTTTTGATATCATTTTTAGTGTATTTTTATTTTATCAATTCAATATGAATTCTTACTCCATTCTTACTAAATTACTCTTACTTTATTCTTACTAAATCATTCTTATTTTATTTTTACTTTATCAATTCAATATCAATCATGTAAACACATTTTTCTTAATGTCTTTGCCACCTCCTTATCTCTCTTTATTGGTGGGACGGAGGTAGTACAATTAAGTAAAAAGTGTTGTCCATTTCGTTGGTATCATAAATAATTAACTAGCTAGTGCAACATTTCTGAAATTGTGTACGCCCTCCGTAGCAAAAAGATCTTTCCACTTTGAAAGTGAGTGAGATTATGAATAGTAAAAAAGAGATGTAAATCATGGGGGTATATATGATTGCATATAAATTATTGGGAGTGTGACGGAATGAAGGATAAATCACAAATAGTAGTTGTGATAGTGTATTATTTTCAGAATTATTGATAATATGATGAGAAGATTTAGAAATGAGAAAATTATTTAGTTACAGTTGAAAAAGGATATTATCAAACTTTTAATAATAGTTTGTGAAGTTACATATACGGAGTACTTGTTTTTTTTCTAGAAGCTAGCTAAATGTTCTTTCTGTCCGGTGAATTCGGAAAAACAAAACAATTAATTAATTAAATTAATTAAAATAGCCAAAGAAAACAGAAATAAGATGGAACAGAAAATAATCAAATCTTGTGCAATGCACAATGTTCATAAAACGTATTCTTTACCTCTCACGGTGAAAATTCATTGGGTTCTTAGAAACTCATCATTACCCAATTTTTTCATATCAACGAATGAACGCTGAAAGTTCGTTTCTCATTCACTCGTTATCCGTTTTGAGTGTATCACATATCAAATTGAACCTCTTAACAAGGACAATCCGAAACCGCTTTGACCCGACCAAAATCGAAAGTGGGCCCCACTCAAAAACACTGCCTAAAATTGACCATTTATGCAATTTATACATATTTTTCGAACACTTTCATTTTGAAATTCTTCAAAATTGTCATGCCAAATACTTCCTCCGTCCCATTTAAAGGTTCTCACTTTTTTTTTTGGACGTCCTACTAAAAGGTTCTCACTTTCTATTTTAAGTAACAATTAACACTCTTAAATGATAATGTAATCATCAAATACTAAGAAAAGTACATTTATAAAATAAGAATTATCATCAATAATTCATTGTATTATATACTCATTGATGGAGTATATGAACTTCGACTCCCCGATCTTCCGGGTTAAAAGTTTTTTTTTGGAAGAGGGGGGCTTACATTGATATCATTAGCATTCAGAAAGGGGTTAAAACGATATAAGGACCACAGACAACCGTCAGCCCTCGAACCAGACTTAGAATCAATCACTTTCAAAGAAGCAATATAACCCATTGATCCTATAATGGGCTTACATGAGCCAAAGACGGTTAAAGCAGACCTCTTATCACCCAATCCTAATGCAAGAGTCTTACAATAATAAAAGTGAACAACAGAAAAATAAACAGTCTGATCATGAAAAATAAATCGCAAGCAAAAAGCAAAATTAAAAAAATTCTTCCAAACCCTAGACTCTTCTGCACTCCATGGCGGCGGTTCAGGAGGAGGACGATCCAGCAGTACCATAGCTTCTTCCGATCCTCACCTTGCCTCTTATTCATCATGTGCTCTATCAAGCCTTCTCTGTCACCACCTAACACAAACGACCAAGCATCCATCTTTCTTCCCTGCACAACCTTCGGCCGCCAGAGACCAAACATCACCTCCCCCCCCCCCCCCCCCCCCCCGCGCTAAATCTCGCCAAGCAGAGGAAGAGGAAAAACACTCTAAAAGCCTAGAGAAGAAAAGCCGCACAAACAATTGGCGGAAAGAAACTCTACGCGGCGGCAAAGCCGTTAGGGAGAAACGTTGATTGCCGGGTTAAAAGTTAGAAGCTTGATAGTAAAGTAGAATGATAAGTCGAAAATAGACATTACCAAACGCCCAAACGGGTTCTAAGATATGCAACTAAAATTTATAAGGAAGAATCTAATTTCTACTTTAATTGTCCATTTTACTGGAAGTGAGAATAAAAGCCATATCAAATTCATTAGATTTTACTACACGAATCGACATCCAACTTATCATTGTAGTAATACGTACTGTGTAGATTAATGGGTTCACGAGAATTTATTACAATATTGATGATAGACTTCACTCAACAAAAATCATTTTCAATTTTAGGAAATATAGGAAATTTTATGAAATCATACGTGACTCCACTATAAATTTATAACTATTCATTTGTGGATAATCGGATATACATATATCTCTACAAACTTATAAAGGTGAATGAATGTTAGGGTTATTTAGGGGGAAAAATGTGTTGGTGTAACATAATGCAATACTTAGTTGTACTCTATGCTATCTATGTTGCCCATTAAAGTCAAAACCTTTTGTTGCTATAGTTTCTGTTTGATCTCCGTTACATGCATCTCATTTAAGCCTATAAATGAGGCAATTCCTCATAAGTCATACTCCCACAGTCCTACTACGTAATTGCTATTGCCATTATAGGAAATGAGCTTTAATCACTTAGTAGTACTCCGTATAATTTTAGCGAACTGAGTTTATTTTTTAGTTTGATAAATTGTTTAATTGGACATGGAATGCCAAGATTGAAAAATTCATGTCTAATTTCCAGCCTTCTACTTAAAAATGATTTTTTTTTCTCTTGAAAAAAAAGACTTTTTAAAAGTGATTTTTGAAAAAGTGTTTAATAATAAAAGTTTGCAGTGTTTGAATAAAACTGCTTTTGAACAATTAAATGTTGGTAGTGATTGGAAAAGAATTCTATTTAATAGAAAAAGTTATTTAAAGCCAAAAGTTGATTTTTTTTTAATTATTGAAAACACTCCATAAGTTGCAATAACCTTTTAAAGATATTTAAGTTGGGCATACTATCATCGCCTCTCATGTGTTTTCTTGCTAATAAGCATAAAAGACTGGTGACCATGCATATGCATGGATCTAAAAATCGGTCTAGGCGCCCGCCTAGGCGCCGCCTAGTCGCTAGGCAGTGGCCAGGCGCCCCGATTTTGGTGTAATCGGTCGAAAAGATCGGTCGAGGCGCCTAGGCGGGCTAGGCGGCTAGGCGGGCTCCTGGGCGGGCTAGGCGGTCCGGATTATTTTTTTCCCCGATTCAACATTTTTTTCCCCGTTTTGACTTAAAACCACGTTTGATCAATAAGTATTCTCTTTCTATATAGTTTAGCTTCATATTACTACGATAAAAAATAATTTAGACATATTTATAACTTTTTAGAGTGTATATATACATTTTTAGAGACTAAAAATATATAAATATCTACATTTATCTATTAATTATTTTATTATTTATAATTTTTATTCATAAACCATAATATCTAATGATTATATGAGCTATTTCTATTTTCAAAATAATATATAAAATTATTGGTAATATTTTTAAATTTCAATGAAAATAAAAAAATAAAGGAAAATACCCAGGCGCCCTAGTCGGTGCCTAGGCGCCCGCCTAGGCGGGCTAGGCGCTAGGCGGCCAGTCACCGCCCGACTAGCGCCTAGCGCCTTTTAGAACACTGTGCATATGTATACGAAATCAGTTTATGTTATACTCCATATTTAAGTTAGGTAACACCGAAATCGGCCGATTCTGCCGAAATTTATGAAGTTCTGGCTGAAGTGGCTGTATTGGCTAATTCTACTAATTTATGAAAAAGTATTTAATAAAAAAAAATACTCCGTATGAAAAATAGCTAAAATGATCTTGTACAATAACTTCAGCCAATACAGCCGGAAAAGTAATCCCAACCTTACTTTTTCTTAGGATGTTTTTACTTGGACTGCAATTTGCTGGTCTTGTGTGGTTTGGTATGGTCTGAACAGGTCCGGTCTGGTTTCTTTGTATTTTTATAACTATCCAAGTCTGGTCTGGTCTGATCTGGTCTGGGACAGATTACAATCCAAGTAAAAACATCCTTATTATCACACAATTCAGCACGAGAAACAAAAAATTATGTGGTTGGTGAAAAGTTGGATGAAAAGTCGAAAAACGGGCTCACCAAACAGGTTCTAAATTTAAAATGTATTTTTTAAATCGTGAAGCTCATGATTTGTGATTTTATTGTATGTTAATTTAATTGGAAAAGATCAATTTTTATCTCAAGCACTCTTAATGTATGTAATTTGTAAATTTAATTTGCTTAGGCGAGTGTTTTATTTTTTTGTTAAAATTAAACCTTTTCAATTCATAGTTTAATTTAGATCGTGTGTATGTATTTGCTACTCACAAATGTATTTTCCCCTATTGAATTTATGTTTTAAATCATTTTGATTGAAGATTACAACTTCTTTAAAATGTGATTTTATCTAGATGATTTTGTTAGCATTAGTGAATTTAGAAGAAAATATTATATAGAAACCATGATAGTGCTATTAAGTCATACAAAGTATTATTATTGGACATCTTAATGTTAGGTCATATACACCCCATGACTTCTAAATGTTAGGTCAGGAAATGCTTTAACTTAGTTGGGTTATGGAAACTAGAAAACCCGTGTTGCTTTCTATGGACCACTATTGAATGTGAGTATATGCCTTATGATCCGGTTTAACATACTAAAACTAACCTTTGTAAGAACGCCATTATAAGTTGGGCTAGAAAACGCCATTATTATCTAAATAAAAACTTATAAAAGTGAATGAGAGTAAGGGTTCTTGGGGTATATGAAATGTGTCGGTGGTACAACCCTACAATAGAGCTAGATTGGATTGTACATTCATTTTAAAACATTGTACCCCTTAAATTATATTCTAACATTTTTTCCGTTAGTCTTCACCTCTTTAAACTTCCGTTAACTTTTCATTTCTCCTTTGTTGCTAACAAC